AAGACAAAGGACATCTGCCTCAGCAGGTTTTCAGTGCAGATCAAAGTGTTCTCTCTCTTCTGGGAAAAAATGCCATAAAGGACACTGATTAGTAAGGAAGAGAAGCATGCATCAGGATTTAAGGCAGTAAGGGACAAGCTAACTGGACTGCTTTGTGCAAATGCAGTTGGGTTTATGATCAGGACTGCCCTTATCTATAAAACTGCTAATCCCCTGGCCTTGAAGGGAAAAGATAAACACCAGTTGCCAATCTTTTGATTGTACAGTAAGAAGGCCTGGACAGTGTGAAAACTTTTTCTGGATTGGTTCCATTGATGCTTTGTCCCTGAAGTCAGAAGTACCTTGCCAGGAAGGAACTGCCTTTTAAAGTTCTTTCGATATTGGACAATGCCCCAGCCACCAGAACACCATGAATTTAGCACCAAAGTCCTCAGAGTGGTCTACTTGCCTCCAAATGCAACATAATTTGGCCTCTACATTGGGAGGTCATAAGGACCTTCAAGGCTCATTACACACAATACTTTATGGAAAGGATTGTCAACACTATGGAAGAGAACCCCAACAGAGAGAACAACATGGAAGTCTGGAAGGATTACATCACTGCAGATGCCATCATTGTGACAGAACAAGCCATGAAAACCATTTAGCCTGAAACAATAAATTCCTGCAGGAGAAAACCGTCCAGATGATGTGCATGACTTCACAGGACTTACAACAGCCAATCAATGAAATCATGAAAGAGACTGTAGATGTGGCAAAAAAAAAAAAAAAGGTGGGAGGTAAAGGATTTCAAGATGTGGATCTTGGAGAAATTCAAGAGCTAACAGATAACCACACCAGAAGAACAAAGAGAAGACAATCTGATGGAAATGAGTGCTTCCCAATCAGTGTGAGATGATGATGAAGACTACACAGAAGCAGTGCCAAAAAACAAATTGACATTAAACAACCTGGCAGGTTTCTGATTAGTCAAGATGGCTTTTCACTTCTTTTATAACACAGACCCTTCTATGACATGGGCATTAAACCTAAAGCAAATGGTGGAGGAAGGATTGGTACCACATACAAGTAATTTTAGAGAAATGAAAAAGCAAAAAAGTCAGAAATGATGTATTTCTGTAAAGTTACACTGCGGCACCTAACTCTCCTGCTGCCTCTTCCACCTCTTCTGCCTCTGCCACCACTAAGTCAGCAAGGCTAACCCCTTCCTCAGCCTCCTCAACGTGAAGATGACAAAGATAAAGACATTTCTGATGGTACACTTCCATTTAATGAATTAGTAAATATCTTTTTTCCTCCTTATGATTTTCTTAATTACATTGTTTTCTCTAGCTTACCTTATCATAATATAGCATATAATACATATAACACACAAAATTATGTGTTAACAGGCTGTTTATGTTAATGGTAAGGCTACTGGTCAACAGTAGCCTATTAGAGGTTAAATTTTGGGAAAATCAAAAGTTATACAAGATTTTCAACTGCATGCAGGGCCAGTGCCCCTCCCCGCTGTGTTGTTCAAGGGTCAGCTGTACTAAGGACTTTGCCAACTTTAAAACATGGAATATTTGAATACAGAAACCAGAGTATTTACATACTCAGCTTGGGGTAGACCTATTAAAAAAACTTCTCCATATGTAGAAAAGGAAATATAAATGCATCCTTTGAGATGTTTGTGATGTTGTAAATAGAACGAGATTAACTCCATGTTCTTTCTAACCTAAGAAAGCCACAGGGGCACTTCTATCTCAGGAATACTTAAATTTAGGGGATGCTGTCCGACCTGTATTCATTACAGTAGTTTCAAACATGGTTTCTGTTTTATAGCACACCATATAGGGCAGAATTCCAGGTAAGTAAGTCCCAGGGTCTGAAAGGGGTGCCATTTAACTTTGGGAACTATAAAGAAACTCTACCACCTGCAAGTAGAAGATGGTATAAGCAACTATTGGCCCAACTTAAAATGTGAAGTGCAGAGGTCAAGTGTCCCTGTTCATGTACAGCACTAAAGTACTGCAGTTACAATCACCCACCACAAACAAAGTATCTTTTGTTTACTTATTTATTTAGAGACAGGGTCTCATTCTGTTGCCCAGGCTGGAGTGCAATGGCGTGATCTTGGCTCACTGCAACCTCTGCCTCCCAGGCTCAAGTGATCCTCCCACCTTAGCTTCCTGAGCAGCTGGGACCACAGGCATGTGCCACCACGCCCAGCTAATTTTTGTACTTTTTGTAGAGATGAAGTTTCACTATGTTGCCCAGGTTGGTCTTCAGCTCCTGGGCTCAAGTGATCTTCCAGCCTTGGCCTCCCAAAGTGCTGGGATTACTGGTGTAAGCCACTGCACCTGGTCAACAAAGTATCTTAAATCTAAAGTTTCTATGAATTTATTTGGAAAGAGAAGGCTTAGTTGAGAGGATTGTTTAGTGAGAGGGACTTAGAAAATACCTCTTTTAAAATAAGGTTTAAAAGTTAAGGTTTAAGCATCAGTGTATTTCAGGTGATGTGTTCAAAAGGAACATTAAGGATGTTTTTCCTTGCTGTCACTAACAAGGCCCTTAGTGCTCAGCTGACATTGTCTAGGACGGGATCATTTGTCAGGAATGGTCTACACAGAGTGAAAGCCTGCTGATTGCTGTTCACAGATAACAAATGCTTTTCTCCCCCGACAGAAAGGATCAAGAAGACTTCCTTTTCCACCACCACGCTACTGCCCCCCATTAAGGTTCTTGTGGTTTACCCATCTGAAATATGTTTCCATCACACAGTTTGTCACTTCACTGAGTTTCTTCAAAACCAGTGCAGAAGTGAGGTCATCCTTGAAAAGTGGCAGAAAAAGAAAATAGCAGAGATGGGTCCAGTGCAGTGGCTTGCTGCTCAAAAGAAGGCAGTGGACAAAGTCATCTTCCTTCTTTCCAATGACATCAACAGTGTGTGTGATGGTACCTGTGACAAGACTGAGGGCAACCCCAGTGAAAACTCTCAAGACCTCTTCCCCCTTGCCTTTAACCTTTTCTGCAGTGATCTAAGAAGCCAGACTCATCTGCACAAATATGTGGTGGTCTACTTTACAGAGACTGATACCAAAGACGATTATGATGCTCTCAGTGTCTGCCCCAAGTACTACCTCATGAAGGATACCACTGCTTTCTGTGCAGAACTTCTCCACGTCAAGCAGCAGGTGTCAGTGGGAAAAAGATCACAAGCCTGCCACAACAGCTGCTGCTCCTTGTAGTGTACCCACGAGACGCAAGAGACCTTAAAAGCTTCCTATCCCACCAATTACAGGGGAAAAAAAAGTGTCTGTGATGATCCTGAGGCTCACTCTATAGCCTACAAATAGCCTTAAAACATTTTATGCCAATAAAATTGTTTCAAATATTGCTAACTACCATTAATTAAAGAATTGACTAGTAGCAATTCTTACGCTAATGGACTAGTAGCATTAACTAAAGAATTGAAACTACATTTACAACTTCAAAGCTAAATCAATTTTATACATAGAAATGAATTACAATTATAATTGAAAACTAACCATTTGGATAATGCAGCAATAAAGTATCTTCCAGCCAAACATCTCGTTTTGCATTGTCCATGCATTGCAGTAGGATCATGCAGTGGTTGCATGAGGCTACCTGCTGATGAGACAGACTCACAAGCCAACTTAAATGAAGGGCTTCACCACGTGAGAACCTTCAATACCAACACAGTAGGCAGAACTGTTTAACTATTCTATGTTTAATTCATGAATACTAAATCTAAGAACACCTCACTGATTCACTCAATAGCATCTTTTTTTTTTTTTTGGGACGGAGTTTTGCTCTTGTTACCCAGGCTGGAGTGCAATGGCGCGATCTCGGCTCACCACAACCTCCACCTCCTGGGTTCAGGCAATTCTCCTACCTTAGCCTCCTGAGTAGCTGGGATTACAGGCACGCGCCACCATGCCCAGCTAATTTTTTGTATTTTTAGTAGAGACGGGGTTTCACCGTGTTGACCAGGATGGTCTCGATCTCTTGACCTTGTGATCCACCCGCCTCGGCCTCCCAAAGTGCTGGGATTACAGGCTTGAGCCACCGCGCCCGGCCACTCAATAGCATCTTAGGTGAAAAAACCTTCTGTTACATGCAATAAAAAAAATCATTGTTTTTAAGATAACAAAAGTAGGGAATACACAATCTTTACCTTTGGAAACAGGACTTGAATGGGTCCCATTTTTTTTTTTTCTGTAATCCAACAGAAAATGAAAAAAAAAATAAAAACAACCAAAACTTTTTCCCCTATTTGGGATTCTAAGAGGACACGAGTCATGTCGTAAGTGCATTTAACTCAAGACAACATTAGATCCTAATGAAACACTAGACAAGGGAGAAAATGGCATGAGTGGACAGTTCTCCCTCATGACACACTACCCCTGATAGCCATCCACATGAGGCTGCCTGCTGATGAGACTCACGAGCCAACTTAAATGAAGGGCTTCACCACATAAGAACCTTCAATAGCAACTGTTTCATCACTGGGGAGTTTATGAGACCCTGAGAGAGGACAAGAGAGTTTACAACTGAAGAATGAGTTCCTATTTATTCTCAAATGCCCTGACTAAACTGCTCAAAAGCACTGTATAATTTGAAACCAATGTCATGTCCCCAACATAAAGTTGAAATTTATTTACTGTCCATGACACTTAAGCATCTACATCAATAAATTACAAAACATATATTCTGTAAGTCTTTTATACCAAGAACCTTGTTTTTGGTCTTTGATGGTGACATTCCTCCCCATTTACCACACAAAAGCAGCCCGCTCTCGTAACATGCGGACACCAAAGCGCTGCCACTCTCGCTGATAAATCCACAGCTCCTGTGTTGTATCCAAACAAGCCAACACTGCCCCTCCTTTCCATGCAATCAGCCGAGGGTCCATGTCCTAGAGAAGGGATGAAGACATTTCAGCCTCATTTACTTGAATGTGGGACCAAGAAAAATCCCTGTTGAGTCAATACTTAGTGTAAACCAGGCTTACTAATACATCCTGTATTAAAGACAGTAGGACTTATGAACTACAAGCATGTTTGTTTCAATAGCCAAGAAAGCCTTTAAATTTTTATAACTAAAGATGCTACTGTTTACTAGTATTGCGCAAATACCCAGGTCCAGTAAACAGGAACATAAAGAAATGACTTATTTCTAAGTTTGAGTGGAATAAATAGAACACCACAATCCCTCCCTTAGGATTAGAAATATGAACATTTCCAGGAATTGTCAGTGAGACTTAATAAAACGTACACATAATCTATTTATCAATTCCTGGGTTTCTCTTTCTTTTCAAGAAGTTCAAGCCAAAAAAGATATTTAAAGATTATCTGGTCCAGGAGCTAGGAGTAGATCTTTAATATAAAGAAGAGATTAAAATGGAGCTGTTCTGGCTGGCAGGGCACGAGAGCAGTTGGTCCTCCCCTTCCCCAACCTGGTCCTTTAACAAAGGTGCAATTCAGTCATGCTAGTTTGGGGAGCATGGCAGGGGAAAGGAGCAGAAAACCCGTACCTTAGGCCAGAGTTCCTTCCACCACTTCTATGGCTTGCTGAAATTAATTTTTCCACTTGCCCTAAACCCTCAAGAACTCCTCAGACACAAGCCCACGCCTCCCTGGATTTGATCTGTCCACACACGAGGCTGGTTTCATTTGCATACAGTCGAACATGCACCAAGAAACAACCTACCTTAGGCCTTGTGATCACATCCACATTTTCAATAATTCGCCTGAACGACGGTGGCATTTTGTTGAGAATTCTGTGCTGCAGAAATTCTTGAGCTTTATGAAACATCAAACCACCTCCCACCACTAGGATGGAGCTGTACATCTTCTTTTTGGTATCATCAGATGCTGAAAAGACAGTGACACCCTCCATGCTTCTTTTCCACATCCATAATTCTAGGCCAAGCCACCACCTCTTGCTTTGGGAAGTGCAATAGGCTTCTCAAAGATCTCCCTCTAGCCCACCCTCCACACTGCAGCCAGAGGAACCCTGCAAAACACAAATGTGGGTGTGTTACCATGCCACTGCAATCCTACTTGTAGGATTGGGATCAAAATCTTTAAAGGGACCTACAAAGTCTACTGTGGGTGGTCCTCACCTGATTCTCTGACCTCATCTCACACCCTGCTTCTCAGTCACACTGGTCTTCACAGGCTTCTTCCTCTGCCCCATCTGTGACTGCTAACTGCCCCCTTTCATCCCTGACATCTCTCTCAAGAAGTACCTTCCTCAAGGAAGTTTTCCCTGCCTCCCCGCTTCTATACCACCCCCTAGTAAGTGAAGTTTCTATATAAAATTCTGCAAATTATTACACAAATGTGAAATTACCACTGGCAGGTGCTACAAAGTTGCACTGAAGGGCACTGACTATTTAATAGTATTCTGCCAGTGGTAATTTCACACTTATGTAATAATGTGACTTATTTTGCTCTCTTCCACTAGGCTATAAACTCATTCTACTTCATTAATGTATTCCCAACACCTGGCAATGCAAGCCAAGTAGGTGCTTGATCATTTTTCAATGAATATGTTACACTGCACAAGTACATTCCAGACTCAACCAATTCATTTCACTGGTGTCTTGTTTCACTACTATCCCCCGGTCTCCCCAGATGTGCTTACAACAGCAGTCTATGCTATGAAGGATGGCTTTATCCAGGCCCAGGGCTTTCCCTTCAAACAGCGAGATGGCAGTCTTCCTGGACATCAGTGCAGTGAGGGCCTCCTCGGAATCGTTGCCGGCCATTAGGCCATCTCCCTGTGAGGACCCTAAATCTACCTCCTGGCAATGGAGTCTTTCTGGAAGATCAGAGGACTGGCCACGAAGATCCCCTTCAAATCCAATAGGCTTGGATGCAGACTTTCGGTCAGCAGTAGCTTTTGCAGACTTTAAATCAAAAGGAAAACCAAATAGGTGGTATTACTACAACAGAACACTGTTGATGTTGCCTAGTTAGATTCTTCCCTACCCTCCTACTATGCGCTCCTATAAAACAAAAGTCACCACTGCAATACAATAACTGCCCAGCACCCATTCCCAGGTAACTTAGTAATGAGAGACGGTGCACAGATGACGATCCTCTGACCATTCCAAAGCAGTCTCTGGTAGGCAGGGTAGCTCTCAGAACCTTATCATCGCTTCATGCTTGCCTCTGGGCAGGAACAAAGACTAGAAAAATCTAGTCTCCATCATGAGCTGGTGCTGTTTCATTAGTAGTCAACACCTTCAATTTGTGCCCCTGTACCAGACATCGTATTATGGGGATCTGCTTTCAACAAAGGAATTCAGCTCTTTGGCTGTGCCACGCACCTTTCACAAAATTAAGTAATAGGTGAGATTTTAATGAAAATACTACTGGAAAAAATATTCAGAAGTAAATAATGTAAGTAAATGATATACACCAAAAGGAAAGTGTCATTAACTTTTAAATGTATGGACTAGCATTCAGAAAATTGATGTTTGCTGAATAGAGAAATCAATCTTCCAGATTTTAAAATCAGACTTCAGTTCATCTATAATTCTAAAAGCTATATCAGTGTTAGTGTGCTGGAAGATTGCACTGACTGCAATGGCCTATTAACTCTGCACAGATTTCTCCCTTCAGGGACAAAACTCTCTCTTCTTCTACCAGAATTGCTACGGACCTGTTCTTGCTTGCTCTGTGTGGCCAGCAGGTAATGTTCATCATGAGGATCCTCAGGATCGCCCTGAGATCTGTGCTGCAAAGTCGTCATTTTCTGTCCAACAATTCCAAAAGTTGCTGGGTAAAACAAAGCCATTGGAGCCTGTGCACGGAAGGAAAAGAGTGATCAACAAAAGATACTGCCTCCTAAAAAAAACTGATCCACTGAATTCTGTTCTAAAAACAAAACTGGCTGATCAGATTCTCTAAGTTAGGCTGGGCAGTGTTTAGTTGCTGTTTAATTCCCTTTTGGGAGTCACATTATTTCTCTGGTGTACCACAGGCCAGAAAACTCACTCATCACCCAACTAGATGGGTGATATGTCACCATATGAGAGAAATCTCAAAGCAAATATAAAGTACCTCATCATCTACTTCATAATTTCTTAATAAGAATGATACCTTTCTCTCTAAATAACAACTCATCATATAGTGGCTAACTAGAAAGATGTTCTTCAGATCCATTCTAGTCTATACTCTACCAGTGGCTTAAATGTTGGTTTAGTGGATAATCTACAACCAGTTGACATTCTGATTTCACAGTGTTTCCAGCAAGTGCATATTCTCTCAGTTTGACGGGCCTGGATAACTTTCTTTGTACCCATGGAAATATACACCTGTAAGTTACCTGGAGTTTTTCATCTCCTAATCGAAATTGGTAAAGCAGG